CACTGACATTGCTCTGCTTTGCCAGTGTCTGGCACAGATTTCTGCAATTCCACTTGGAGCGGGGGTGAGCACAGGGAGATGGCTGGAGAGGGATTTTCATGTTAAGGCTCTGTTATCATTCCATTTCCAGCTTGTGCTTGACAAACACTTATTGCGCCCACCTCCCAAGGGACTGAATTCTGAGCAGGGAATGTGTGTAGAAGACACTGTACTCTCAATGGAGTTTTAGGAGCCATAATTACCCATTGCTGTTGCTGTGATTACTGCTGTCAGTGCTGAGCTATGGACAGCCCAGTCACACTGGGGCTGCCTGGTGTCTGTGCCAGCAGTGTCAATACCAGTCCCCGAGGAGGGGCTGAGCTGGGCATCTGTCCCTGCCCTTACTTTGGCCCAAGGCAGCAAGTTGCAGTAGTGCCTGTGTGCAGGAAGACGTGTTAGATCTGACAGTGGCCAGACAGAAACCGGGCACCAGGTCCGCAGCTGATGAAGTCATGGCCTCGAATTAGTGAATTCAGCCAAGCTGGTTGATGAATATGAACTTCTCAGACCTGAGAATCTGGTCACGCACATCTGGCAGAGATGGCACAATGTACTTGCCCAGCCACGACTTCCAGCAGCAACTGGCACAATGGGAATACCAATTATTTCTCTACGTGTTTTACTCCAGCAATGAGTAGAAGCACAAATGGCAAAGTAGCGCAGAACAGCTACAATACCTTTGTCCAAACAGACTGCCAAGGTGACGTGCTGGTTTTGCGGCTCCCCTGCCCAGAAAAGGCTGGACCACGTGTGTGGAGATGGTAGTGAGGAGAGATGGAGGCTGCAGAGGGACCTGCCTTGTTCTGTCCCCAAAAATGCAGGTGCAAGGGGCTGAGCAGCCTCCACTTGTACTTCCCGGCTGCTGCAGGCATTTGGGAAGGGGTTTTTGCACGTGATGGCTGAGTGTGCCTGAAAGCCAGCTGCTGGCAACAGGTCCGTAACCAGTTATTCACAAGTAGCACTTTCTCCCATGAAAGAAATGGAGCTGGCACCCGTTAGGCAAGTGCATCTTGCATCTGGAAAAAATAATCACATCGTTACTCCCATAATTGTTTTTAATTGGGAGAGTTGAGTTCATCTCTCTGCACAGAGCCCAGCCTGTAGGGCTGGGTCTTACTGTCCAGCCCATCTGCCTGCAGCCACCAGGAGAGATGGACGGGGCCATACAGGTCGCTTGGGACAAGTGCCTCTGCACGGCATTTTCTTCTGAAGGAAAAACACTTGTGAAGAGCCTGGAGCCTGTTGCTCAGAGGAGGGTGATATAAAAATGCTAGAAATGGAAGTGAAGGAAGCGCGGGGCCGGCATGGGAGGTGAGGAGAAAAGGGTTTAGGCAACTTGCCTTGCATGTCTGTTGGGCAAGAGCATGGTGCATCTTGGTAGGTAGGTTGGTAGGACAAGATCAGCACGCTGGTCGCCTTCCTTCAGCAGCATCATGGAGACTTCAGTCTGAGGTGCAGTTCAGCCTGAAATAGGTACCTGAAGTAAGGCTGGTGCCTTAAAAATGCTTGTTTTCTCTGGCTGTAAAGGAAGCTCCACGGTAGACACCTAAGGGTGGGTGAATGATCCCTGTGCTGTTGGGGGGCAAGGGAAGAGGGCTGTTGGTCTTGTGCATTGGTCTGGTGTTAGGGGAGTCCTGTGTGTGTATGTAATTCAGGGTTCCAGGACTCAGGCTCCTACGATGTGTTTTTTTCGCAGTGAGAAGAAATAGCAAGTTTTAAAGGCTTAGCATCAAGCAAATATATGCACGCCTCCAGGCTGTGAAAAACAGGATGGTAACTTCCATCTGCCGCGTATCACAGCATTTGTAACTGTGAGGCTTGCTGCTGAGAGGAGCTGAGTTACCAGTGCTGTTCTTCAAACACCTAAAATGTTATCAGTAGCTACTGCATTATGTGTCACATTAATGCTATGAAACGCAGGTAGTATCTACTCAGACTTCAAAAAAATAAAGGACTGAAAAAAAAGAGGGAACGATGTTTCTTTGGAACAATATTAATTTCTTGAGTTTTTGCTGCTGAGATGTTTCAATGGGCAGAGGAGAGCAGCTGTTACGTGCCTCCACTGTCAGCTTGCTCCCTGCAGTGCCAACTTCTATCTTGGCTTCGGTGTCTCTAATCCCTCCTGCTCTCTGTGCTCATATCTTGTCTCTGTCCTCATGAACACCGCACAGTCCAACTTCTCAAATAGAAAAGTGATATTCCTGCATCTTTTTACCAGCCCTGACAATCCTCTCATCCCTGACTCGGCCACCTCCTCCTGGCCAGCCTGAGGGTGCCAGCTTTAGCCTGGCCAGGTTTGCCCCATCTTCCTCACCCCTCTGCTCCCTGTCCTGGCCATCTCCAGGGACCAGACATCTCAGGAGAGTAGGACTTGGCGAAATGCACAGTGGCATTTAAAACACCAGTCAGACAGTCGCTTCCCCCACCCTCAGTCTATTTCTCACCTCTGGTGTAACAACAATAATCCTAAATATTAGTGATGGGTTTGTTGTTCGGTTTTGTTTTGTTTTAAAAGGCTTATTGTAAGGTTACAATGTGTGGGCTGGGATTTCTTTTCCTTGCAAAACAAAGGCAGAGCTGCTGGGGCAGCCTGGCTGATGCCGTGGGATGCTCTCTGGGAGGGGTTTGGGGGACAGACCTGGGAGGTCGCAGAGACTCGGGGTCAGGTCGGGGTGCTGGCAGCAAGCACTGCTGGGTGTGCTGGTGCCACGGGCGTTTCAGGGCCATCGGAAGGGAGGGAGGTGGCCTTGGGGGGGGGAGGGGGGGGGCCAGTGAGTGACTTGTGTTGTAGAAAAGCCAGGTGTGCACAGCTCGGTGTTTATCCCCTTCTTGCACAGCGGTGCTTGGACTCATGGCAGCACCAGGTCTTTGGGGGCTGAGTTAAATGAAGGTTTGACGTTAAAAAAAAAAAAAAAAAAAGAACCAACAACAACAACAACAAAGCATGGTAATTGTTGGAGCTGCCTAAAAAAGGTTGGCAACGTGAACTCATATCTGGCTGGGGACAGGGGTATAATTTTGTCTCAGGTCAAGAGGAAAATACATCCCACGGTATCTGTGGCAGGGGTTGGGTAGGGGAGAAGAGGGAAAACATCTGCTGAAAGTGTGTGTGTGCACGAGAGCGAGCGGCTTCATGGTGCCTGTCTTGAGGCCAAGGGACTGTGGGGAGAACAGGGGGGCCAGGGCAGCACCGGGGCCTCCCTGCATGGGAGACAGGAGAAAAGAGAAAAAAAGATGCTCGTCGCACTTGGCACCTGCATGGTCCTCGCCCAGTTCTCCCAGGGCAAACACACACAGTCCCGTGGCTGGTAATGATGGGAGGAAAAGGCAGGAGATTTTGGAGGATGGAATTAAACAGGCGTCCACAACAGCAGACCGACGTGTCTGGTTCCACAAGATGCTCTGCCCAGCTGCGGTGGTGCTGCAGCTTGAGGGGTGCTTCCTGGGTGCTGCTGTCTGCAGGTGACACATCCCAGGCAAATTCTTCAGGTAATCGGTGGTTTGCAGAGCCCTGGCTCAATCCTGACCCTGTTCAAGTTTCCTTAAGTCACTTATTTTGCAGCGCCAGCATGTCCTGTGAGTCCCTGCCAACCTCCAGCCCTCATCGTGTCCCCTGGGCTGTCCCTCCACCTCTAGGGAATTTGGGTCCCTGTACCAAGGGGCTGTTGCAGGTGGCTGCGGCTTGCCAGGGCTTTACAGCAGGGCAGGCAAGGACTCGTTTTCTGCTGAAGGCAAGCCATGTTTCACCGGCCTCCCCTGCCACCACAGCTCCCAGGGGGAGCAGGGCTCTGCTGTCTGAAGGCCTCTTTCTTCTACCCAGGGCAGCAGAAACAGCTCCTCCCACCCAGGGAGGACTTGTAAACGCTCCTCACAGAGCATCAATGCTGTCATTTACACTTCCCCCACACGCACTAAAACATGCACAGGTAGGCGCCCTCCTCCTGGCCCCCTCACCCCATGTCCATGCCCATCCCCTGCAGCCCAGGTGTGGGGAGAACCCAGCTTGCAGAGCAGAGATGCACTGCCTGCTTCAAAGCAACCTATTTGCACTAGCGGGGTGTTTTTATTAGCAGAGAGGCGGTGTTGCGGGCGCGGAGGATTTAGCAACGGCCAAATACAGGCAAAGAATTCACCCTCCTTCCGCCCAGGCTGGGCCGGAGGGAAAAGCTGGGTGTACGGCTGGGGCTTGCGGGTCCTGTCCTAAACCGCGTGGGCAGAGAGGTACAGTTGCACCGTGTCAGGGTGTGTGTGTATCTGTGCACGTGGGGGGTTTGCAAACTCCCTCTCACATCATCTGTGAGTGAGCAGGGGGCTGTCCACGCTGCGGGCTCGTTCCGCCGTTTGGAGTAGATAATCCACGCCACACCGAGAAACTCTGGGGTATATATGGTGTGTGCCTATGTATTCACATATATTATTGCATGTACATGCCCATGCACACACGTGCCCATACACACGTGCACATGTTGTTGCCCATGTTTTCCAGAGCAGAGGTTTCATCCCCTGGCCAGCAGCTGGAAGAAGTGCTGAGTGTCCTACACACCCTCGGAGCAGGGCCTCCTTGCACACCTCCATTTACTATTTCCTTTCTCCCTTGCACGAGTGCGTGTGTGGGCATGAAAATAGGCACATCCTCTCCTTCTAGCACAGCGTTTTGTGCTCCTGCCCCGAGGCGCAGGGGGAGGCTGAGTCCCGGCAGGGAAACGGTCCCACTCATGTTTCAGCCCCCCTGGCCCACAGCACGGGGGGCAAATGCTGCTCCCACGCGCATGTGTTAGGAGGATGCCACCCCTGGGACGGGGTCCAGTGCTCGGCGTGGGCGACACCGTAGTTGTTTGTGCGTGTCACGGCGGGAAGTGTGTGAACGGAATAAATTTAGCAGCTAAAACACAGGGCCAGCGCAGTCGGTCATTAACTGCCAGCCCGCCTCGTCATCCTGCAACCACAAGGAGCTTTTTTAGGGCCGGCGTCCCGGCGGAGGCTGGAGGAAGTGTGGGAGGCCAGTTCCCGGCGACACCTCCGCGCGCGGCGGTGCTGCCCGCCGGTGCCATTGGCTGCCCCCGGCCCGGGGCCGGCACCGGCCAGTGGTTAAATGCCCGCACGGCCACGCCAGGACACACAGCCCGGGGCACCCCAACACAAGCAGCCACCTCGACCCATCCCCAGCACCGGAGGAGACGCCGGCGTGCGCCACGCCTCAAGGTAAAGGTTTTGGTTTCTTTAGGTCGCTTTGGCATCGCCTGGAGTGAAAAACGGCAACGTCCGGGGGCAGGGGTTGTAGGTCTCCTTGCAAGTTTTGGTAGAAAGCAGGAGAGACATGTAAGCTGGGATGTAGGTGTTGCTTTGTAAGGGAAGAAATCGGGAGCGTGGCTCTTTGCTCCAGCGCGTTTCAGGTGCAGGGTGATGTGCAGCGCAGTTCCCCGTGGGGATGTGGTGCTGGGCTGCTTAAGGGGCTTGGAAAATAAGAGCAGAGCTGGAAGCAAGCCACATGCTTCTCGACCTGCCCGGGCAGGCAGCAGTGCCGCTGGGATGCCAGACCGACCCAGCAGCCACGGGGGTTGCAGCTCTCCGCAGGGTTGTCTCAGTGGGGTGCTCCACTTTGGGGCGGCGGGAGGTTTTGTGGGGCTGTGGGGACCATGCGGGGTGGGAGGCACAGCCCTGCAGCCCGTCCCCTCGTGGCACTGCTCATCTGTGGTGCCGGCTCCTGGTGGCGGGGGACATCGCTGCGGGAGCAGGGAATTTGGGGGAGCTTTCCCACTCTTTAATGACCTTTAGACAAAAAATCTGCAAGAACGTAGCCAGGTGTTTGAAATCCCAAAATAAAGGGAAGTTCCTGCGCAGGAGATGCCAGGAGGCAGGACGAGGACAAAACCTTGGTTGGTTTGGTGACATGCTGGGCTGAGCACCATGTGCCAGGGCGGCAAGGCTGTATCAGCTGGGGGGGCTTCGTGGGGCCAAGGGACAGCCAGGGGCACACGCAGATGCTTCGCCCCAGTGTGCAAATACTTTGCTCCCTGTCGCAGCTGCAGGGACCACGACCGACATGAGGGTTCCTGCGTTCCTGGTGCTGCTCCTGTGGGCCGCAGCCCGCGCTCACCCCGTAAGTACCCACCGGGCAGGTACTCAAACCCCAAACCCCGGCGGTTTCGCCCAGCCAAGGCGCACCGATCACTGACCACATGTCTCCTGGATGCGTTTAGGTGCCCGGCCACGAGCCCGCCCGCCTCGGCCCCAGTGCCCAGCAGCAGGTAAGCCGGGGGGTGCCCCGGTCCCGCAGCGGCAGCGGCTGGCGGAGCAGGTCTGGGGCGGGGAGCCAGCCCTGGGCAGGCATCCCCGGGCCAGGCACCTGGGGGAAGAGCTGCTGCTTCTGCTGGACTTCGAGCTTTGCCCGTCTCCTCAGTCTTTCCAAGCTGGGTTGGTTTCGGCTCATTCCACCTCGCCTCCCTGTGTATGTTCCCAGTTGACCTTCCGCCTTCTGCTGTCAGTCCTGAAAAAGGAGTTTCTGTGCTCTGAACAGTTTGGACTTTTCTGGGTTGCCCCTTTGTTGGCGGCTACTTTTTCTTTTTTTATTCTTTCAGCAGAAACAACTGAAAGGCTGAGGTGCAAGCAATGACGAAGGCTTGAGCACTTGCATGGCTTAGGAGTGCCAGATCATCCCACAGCAGTAGCAGTAGCAGTAAATGCGTAGTGGTGTTTAATAAACCAAAGCACTGTGTCATGTTTTGCCTCCAGGACACAGCAAGTGAAGATTACATCAACAAGCTGGGCAACCTCCTGGGTGGTGGAGATGGCAGATATCCTCCTGCCAGTGTGGAGAGAGGGGACAATGCCCTTGTCGAGGACCCGGCGGGTGGGAATGCTGTGGGCGAGGAGCTGGGCGAGCACGGTGGCCAAGAGAAGGGAGGCAGAGTTGGGGAGGCTCAGGACCTGAATTGGGTGGACCACGAGGATGCAAGTGCCCGGGATGGGAACAGCCTTGGTTTCCTGGTGAGTGAGTGGAGAGAGGTGTTTTGCTCTGCCAGGAAGGTGCACGTAGCCCCAGATCTGGTGTCAGCCAGGGTAGCGCTTGGCCTGCGTGGCGAGCTGTGTCGGTAGCGCCCGTGACCTGCAAGCCTTTCCATTCCTCTCCGTTTGTCACCTCCACAGGAGGAGGATGCACGCGATGCTGACGATGGCGGCAACGGAGAGCACCACGGCGCTGGAGTCAGTGGGCTTCCCTCCCACGCCGGCGGGCTCCTGGATGAGGAGGACGACAGTGGGGATGACACCTTCGATGAGAACGGGGAAGAGGAGGGGGGAGAAGGTCCTACTTACGTGGCTGGTGCCGACGAACATGACCACGACGCTGGCCGTGGGGATGCCAGGGGTGGTGGAGGGCACAGCGACAGCAGCAGCAGTAGCAGCAGCGAGAGCACCGGGGTGGACCACCGGCGATACAGAAACTACCTCGGCAGCCGGTATGAGCGGACCTACAGGCAGGGAGGGGGCAGCAGCAGCAGCCAGGAGGAGGAGGAGAGCTACGACTTTGAGGATGAAGGCATGCAGGGCGATGACCCCTCCGTCTTCGATGGCCTGGGCAGCAGCTACAAGGGGCACCGTGCTGGCCCCCGCAGCCTGGGGAGCAGCCGAGAGAGCAGCTGGGGGGCTGGCTCCCATCGCTGGGAGAAGGGTGACAGCAGGTCCCCAGAAGTGGAGGACACTGACTCGGGAGAAGACAGCCCGTCCACAGAGGACAACAGTCAGTCGGAAGAGCCTGCCACCAGCCAGTCGGAGGAAAAGAGCGCCAGCCGCTCCAGCGAGGACGGGGATGGGGAGGACAGCCCCTCCAGGGAGGGTGAGGACAGCGAGTCCAGGGAGGGCACCACTGACCAGTCGGACGAAGAGGCAGGGGAGTCCCCGGAGGACGTCTCCCGGGAGGTGGTGAGCACGTCGAGCGAGCGCAGCGGCAGCCGGTCCCAGGAAGGACAGGAGGATTGGGAATCTGCCCAGGACAGGAGTGCGCCGTCCGTGCCTGACAGCGAGTCCGGGGAAGACGAAGGCAACCAGAGCAAGTCCGGGGAAGATGATGGTGAGCAGAGCCAGTCCACAGAGGACACTGCGGAGGAGTCAAAGGAGGATGAGGATGACTCCAACCCTGATGGAGACGTGCCCAGCGCATCAGCCGAGAGCCAGAGCGCGTCCGTGGAGGACGGCGACAGCCAAGAAGACAACACAGGCGAGGAGAGTAGGTCCACAGAGAGCAACAACAGTGAGTCCCAGGAGGACGATGACGATGAGGAGAGCCACTCCCAGGAGGATGCCACCCGCGAGTCCAGCAGCCGCGGGGACGACAGCTCGCCGCAGAGCCTGGAGAGCGGGAGCCGCAAGCGGCGGCCGGGCGCCTACCGCAACAAGCCCGCTGCCGACTACGATGACAACGACTGCCAGGATGGGTACTGACGTGTGCCCCAAAGCCTCATCGGTGCTGGGGGGGGGGGGGGGGGGGGGGGGTAGGGGGAGGAGGGGTTTAATTTATTTGCTATATAGCCCGGTTGACTTGTTCCTGAGAAGACGCTGTGGATAAAATGGAGGCGGGATCGCCAGGGCTTGACCTGGGCACGCTACGCAGGGCGCGAAGCGGGAGGTGGTGCCCGACGTGGGGAAAATGCCAAACTGCATCAAGAAAAGCCATTTGCTTTACTAAAACCAGACAGCAGCTGAGAGCTGTGAGTGCCATCGGGGAGATGCCATAAGGGCAGCGTGGCCGCCCTGCGCCCCGGGAGCTGCGCTTGGGCGCGCTGGGCAGAAAGGTCCCTGCATTCACCCCTTGTACTTATCTACCACTGCCCTAAAAGCACCTGCCCAGACTCCAGCAGGAGCTTCCCGTTAGCTCCACGTCCTGCACGTAAGGAGGAAAAGCTACAGCTGGTGTGCACACGTGGTGTGTGAAGTACTACTTCAGGACGGGATGTATGTAATATTTTGTAAGAAATGTACAGAAAACATTACCTTGTATCCTTTTTGCACTTGTATTTCAAAGCTGAAATGTACCCTGTTGATTTCTTTAATGACCATTAAAACCATCAAAATCCACAGTGGTGTGGTTTGAGGTGTTGCTGGTTTTCTCTCCCCGGGGGAGCTGAGTGCTGTGATTTGGGGTTGGACAGGAGCAAGCAGGGAGCAAAGGACAGGCTGTTTGCGCAGGGGGTGGGGGAAAGCAGAGGCTGAGGGGTGTTCCCCCTCCCCTATTTTCCAGGCACACCAAGGGCCAACCCTGCCCCTAGGTGACCTGGCAGTGGGGTGGAAAACTTGGCTAATGACCCTGATGAGCTGGGCCTGGGGCTTTGCTGTTACAGCTAGTACTCAGCTCAATGTGAGCAAGGGCTGTTCTGCTCTTCCTGAGGTGCTGAGAAGGGGGTGCCCCGGGGCACGGGGGCTCTCCTGGACCACTGGCTCTGGGTGCCCACGGTGGCCCCTGATGCCAGGTCGCCTGCAGCAGAGCAGCGGGTGAGTGGGGAAAAGGGGGTTGTCGTGGGCTGGTAGATCACAGGTAAAGCCTCTTTTATTTAGCAAGCAACTAAACAACACATCATTTCTTTAAAATCCAATTCAGGCCCTTCTTGTTCATGTGTGTATGACGAGCTGTACAGCACACAGGTATCGATGCCGGTGGAGGAAGCTGTGGGCTGTTTTCTATGGTTTTGTAGCATGGAGTTGTGGCTCTGCAGGGGACAGTCTCCAAGGGGTCAGCACGAGTTGGTGCATGCCTTTCAGCTGCCTTGGGTCTGCAGTGTCATTGCTAGGCATTGCAATACTCAATTCCAGAACCAGTAAAGGAACAAAATCATTTTTTACTACTTACAGCAAAACTGCACTTAATTTGCAGATTCTTTCCACCACTACAAAAGCTGGGAGCTGAAGAGCTTCTAGCGGAATATATGTTTTAATCTCCACCCTGTGTAAGCTTTTTCTACTTCTGCATGAGATCAGCTCTGAAAAGTGCAGCTTCCCCATGCTGCTGCCCTGGGAAGGAGCCTCTTTCCTGACTGTCTCCTCCACCCCACTGGTCCCCATTTCACAGTTTCACACCTTGGCTGTGACTTGCCCCTTATGTTTTTGGACCCCTTGCACTAACTGCGTGAGGAGGAGCTGGGGATGCTGTGACGGGGCTGATGCCTGTCAGGGTTGCAGGTGCCCAAATGCTGGTGCACAGCCCCATCGCTGGGGTGAAAGGCAGCAAGCACAGGTTTTGGCTTCAGCCCGGAGGTGCAAAGAGGGCTGGGTGACGGCTGTCACTCTGGTTTAAAATTGCAGTAACGATGTGTTCGCTGGCTCCTCTGCGAGGCAGTGCAGGCTAGGGTGCTGCTGTGAGCTCTCCCGTGTCCAGCAAGCGGTGCTGCCGCTTCAGGCAGCGGGGACATTTTGGGTGCCTGCTCTGCCACGGGTCTGGGTCACATCCCTGGGGCCGGCAGAGGTGATGTTTGCATGGGGACAACTGGTGGGGATGGGGACCAAGGAGGGTTTTTTCAGGTCCCTCCAGAAAAGCAAGGGGTGCCCCGCAGCTCTGCGGTGAGCCCAGGCTGCGAGCAGGATGGCAGAGACGTCGCAAGGGTGGGATGAAACAAGCTCTGTGAAACTGCTCCTTGCAGTTTGTGCCTGACCCTCTGTCCGCCCTTATCCTTGGGCTGGGGAGAGGGATGCTCGCCCTCCCCCCCCCCCGCTTGAAAGGGGAGGGCAAGCGCTCATCCTCCTCTTGTTCCATGCACAGAGAGAAATACTGAGTTGATTTGGCTTTAGTGGGAGTGGGAGGGCGTGTGTGCAGCACACTGCTGCACCCTGTGCTGGAGGGGTAGCCAGCTGTGCTCCCCCTGCACGGGGGTCCCCTTCGTGTCCCTTCCCAGGGACATCCTGCGGTTGCATGCACGTCCCCACCAGCAATGCCCAAAATTTGTCTCCCGCTGGCTGGCTGCTCCCCAAAGGCCACGGAGCTGGTGCCAGAGCTGGCTGCTGCCTGCCAGTCCCGCCGGGATGCCTTCCCACTGTACCGTCCCTCCCGGGCATCACAGCGGGGAGAAACTCAGCCCTTTGCTGGGGAAACCTCCTGCCTGGCTGCAGGGAGGGAGCTGCTCCTGTTGGCCCTGTGCAGGGAGATGCCCAGCACCCGACAGCATGGTTCTGTGAGGATGGGCAGGTTTTTGGGGACACTGGTGGCACTTGGCTGTCCCCATCAAATGTTGTTCGTCCGTGTGCAAGCAGGGCCACCCTGCTTGCCATCCAGAGGGGCTCGGTGGCAGGGAGTGCCTCATGGGGTGAGGTTTTGGATGGCCAGAGATAGCACAGCTAAAAGGTGCTTGCTTTGAGGTTTTAAAGGCATTTTTATCAGCAGTCCATGTGTTTGGGTTTTGTGGCACGTGCTTGTGCACAGTGAGAACATCTGACGGGAGTGCTGCTGCTCTCTGCTGTCAGGCAGGCAGGAAAATCATAGCATCACAGAATGGTGTGGGCTGGAAGGGACCTTGAGGATCACCTAGCTCCAAGCCCCTGCCCCGGGCAGGGCCCCCTTCCCCCAGCCCAGGGTGCTCCCAGCCCCGTCCAACCTGGCCTTGAACCCTTCCAGGGAGGGGGCAGCCACAGCTGCTCTGGGCACCCTGGGCCAGCGCCTCACCCCCCCGCACAGGGCAGAATTGCTTCCTTATATCTCATCTAAATCTGCCCTTGTGCAGTTTAAAACTGTTACCCCTCATCCTATCCCCCCACCCCCTGATCCAGAGTCCCTCCCCACCTTTCCTGTCCCCCCTTTAAGCCCTGGGAGGCCGCTCTAAGGTCTCCCCGGAGCCTTCTCTTCTCCAGGCTGAACCCCCCCAACTCTCTCAGCCCGGCCCCCCAGGGGAGCTGCTCCAGCCCCCCCAGCATCTTCGTGGCTCCTCTGGCCCCGCTCGAGCAGCTCCGTGTCCTTCTGATGTTGGGGGCCCCCGAGCTGGCCCCAGCACTGCAGGGGGGTCTCCCCAGAGCGGAGCAGAGGGGGAGAATCCCCTCCCTGGACCTGCTGCCACCCTGCTCTTGATGCAGCCCAGGGCACGGTTGCCATTCTGGGCTGCGAGCGCATGGTGCTGGCTCACAGGCAGTTTTCCATCCACTAATACTGCCATGTCTTTCTCCGCAGGGCTGCTCTCCACCCAGCCTGGGTTTGTGCTTGGGATTGCCCCGACCCTTGGGCAGGACCTTGCCCTTGGCCTTGGTGAACTCCATGAGGTTTGCACGGTCCCACCTCTCCAGCCTGTCCAGGTCCCTCTGGATGCCATCCCTGCCCTCCAGCGTGTCCCCGCAGCACACAGCTCGGGGTCACCAGTGAACTTGCTGAGGGTGCATCGATCCCACTGTCTGTGTCACCATCAAAGATGTTAAACAGCGCTGGTCCCAACGCCAACCCCTGAGGAACACCACTCATCACTGCTCTCCACTCGGGCATCGAGCTGTTGACTGCAGCTCTCTGAGTGCGACCATCCAGCTAATTCCTTATCCACCGAGTGGTCCATCCGTCAAATCCATGTCTCTCCAATTTAGGGACAAGGATGTCATGCGGGACAGTGTCAAACACTTTGCACAAGTCTGGGTAGATGAAGCCAGTCGCTCTTCCCTTATCCACCAACGCTGTAACCCTGTTGTAGAAGGCCACCAAATTTGTCAAGCACAATTTACTCTTAGTGAAGCCGTGTTGGCTGTCATCAATCACCTCCTTATTTTCCATTTGCCCCAGCATAGTTTCCAGGAGGATCTGCTCCATGATCCTGCCAGGCACAGAGGTGAGACTGACTGGCTTGTAGTCCCCCAGGTCCTCCTTTTTTCCCTTTTTAAAACTGGAGGGTTACATTTCCCCTTTTCCAGTCAGTGGGAACTTCACCGGACTGCCAGAACTTCTCAAAAATGATGGATAGTGGTGTAACCACTTCATCTGCCAGTTCCCTTGAGACTCACGGATGCATCTCATCAGGTCCCATGGACTTGTGCACCTTCAGGTTCCTTAGATGGTCTCCAACCTGGTTTTCTCTTCGTTCTCCCAGCCCCCGCCTTTACCTCCTGTGTCTTGGGCAGTGTGGCTGGAGCACTTGCCAGTGAAGACTGAGACAAAGAAGTCATTGAATTCCTCAGCCTTCTCCATATCCTGGGTGACCATGTCCCCCTTTTCCTGCTGGCGAGGGCCCACATTTTCTAGTCTTCCTTTTATCACCAACATACTTATAGACGCTTTTCTTGTTGCCCTTGATGTCCTTGGCCAGATTTAATTCTGCCGGGGCTTTAGCTTTCCTAACCTGATCCCTGGCTGCTTGGACAATTTCTCTGTGTTCCTCCTATGCTATCTGTCGTTGCTTCCAAACAGTTGGGAAGGTTGGCCGCGGGCTCTTGAAGTGTTCCTGCATCCCATTTTGGGCTGTTAGTGCAATGAAGCTGTAAGGGTCAGCTTGTCTGGTGGGTTAGGCAGGGATAAAAAATGCCCACATCAATGTATGCATTTTTCTTA